GCTGGCTCAGGTGCAGCTGATTTACCAGATAGGGCAGGAACAGGAATCCTCTCAGTGCGGCTTGCTGGAGAAGGTGAGGGTATGTGGGCTGCCCTGGGAAGCTGTGTCTGTACAGAAGGCAGAGCAGCTGGGTGGCAGTGGGCCCCAGCTTCCTACACTAGGTTTAAAATTCCTCCCACATCACTGTGCCTTTAGTGATTGCTGAAGTTTCCATTAAGGAGCCCTGTCCCCTGGGAAGGCAAGAGAACTAGGATTTGGTAAGAACACACCTTGTAGCTGTGACCCAGAGGGTACAGAGGAAGAGGGTTTTTCTAGAGAGCATGGGGGAGGGCATGTCATCTCATTCTGCTTTGGATTTCAGTATAGCAGCTATTTCAAAGAATAAGGTGGGGTCCCAGATGGGGTCAGGAGCAGGGGGGAGGGCTAGCCCCATCTCTGGAATGCCCCATTCTAGGTACTCTGGTGAAGAGGATACAGCCTGCACTCTTTGGGGGAGCTCTAAGCCCAGTACAGATTGGACCTCTTGTGACCCAGCCACTATCTAGGGGAGCGCTCCCCAGTGACACCTGGTATTGGATCCTGGCCTGGAATCAGTGCTGCTGATGAAAAGGGCTCGATGTTATAATCAAGGCCAGGTGGGAGTCAGCTCACTCATAGGCTCTATCTGGAGAGAACTAATGCTTTCTCTTTGGTGCCTGGTGTCCTGCAGCCAAAGCCAAAGGTCCGCCAGACATCCAAGCATCCCTAGGCATCAGGATTCTGTTTCTGGGCCTGCCTACTTCTATATCCATGCTGGCTGACATCCGTACCCCGTTTCCCATTCATTTCTGTACACTGATTCTTCCACAAGCCAGTTTCCCCACACACTTACTTTGCTTTGTTTATAAAATGATATGCTTCATTCCAGTGGGCAAGAAGGTCTGTAGTCTCTTCATCATAGACCCGGATGTTATGATATGCAAACAAGCCAGGGAAAAAATTGTCTATTTCTCTAGTGACATTTAAAATGTAGTCAACCCTACAACAAGAAGAGCAGCAAAAAGCCTGGAGAATCAGAATGAGGAACTAAAAAAAGCAAAGTAACAAAAAACTAGCTGAGGGAAAAAAAATTATATACACATGGATAAAGGGTCTATGCTTGTGGTAGTTTTGTTTTTCCTTAACAGTAATTTGGATGTGTGTTCCCTCCATATGAAGAGAATGAGACTATATTATACAAAAAACCCCCATGTCATACCAAAAATTCTTTACTTAAAAAAAATTCTTAAAAAAAAAGATTTTTATGTGTGTGTGTGTGTGTGTGTGTGTGTGTGTGTGTGTGTGTCTATGTACCACATGAGGGCGGGCACCAAAGGAGGCCAGAGGAACATAAGTGCAGGTACCCAAGGAGGCCAGAGGAGGGCACTGGATTCCCTGGAACTGGAATTATAGGTGGCTGTGAGCTGCCTAATACAGGTGTGGGAACCAAATTTAGGTCCTCTGGAAGAGTAGCAAGTACTGGGACATCTCTCTAACCCCTTAAAAAAATCTTGTAAGAATGAAAATTCAGAAAGTTTAAAGCACTGCCATGTAATGTTTTTTCCAGAAAGTAAACTTGTGCTACTTAAGAAATTCCTAAACTCAAAGTTTCAAAATTAGTAGCTATCAATAGCATACTAAAGCTTAAAAAAAAACCAACAGCCAGGCATAAGGGTGCATGTCTTTTATCAGAGCACTTGGGAGTCTGCCTCAGAGCAGAAAGAATACAGGTTCAAGGTCAACCTGGGTTATGTTATATGGTAAGTTCAAGGTCATCCTGTGCTATAGAGAAAAACACTGTCTTAAAAACAAAACAAAACAAGAGGACAAAAAAGCCTTCACCCTTAAATAGTTAAAAAAGCAGAATATGTCCATTCATCCAATATTTACACCCTTAGAAAGTATGTTAAATCCTTTTGAAACAATTCAAGATTTAAGTATTTGAGAGTGCTAACCTAAGTTCCATAGCTCTCTACACTTAACCAGTACTTCCATTTCTGGAACGTCAAAATAATTTTAGAAACTGGTAAACATCACAGATGAGTTTCACCATGATAATGTATAATGCATATGAGACTCCTCAAGTCACCACCACTTATTCCCAGTGTGACAGAAGCATGTCCGCTTCACACTGGAAGAATATTCTGCTGAAAGGACACAGCTTGACTGGCAGTTCTAAGGATGTATTTTATGCTTTGTTTAGTCTTGGTTTTCAAATGCAGTAATTCAAGAACGCCATCATGTCAGACCACAGGATAGTGATTTTGTGACTTCTTTTTTTTAAGTCCAGACATCTGCTCTTGAAGGTCTCAGTTTAAATATTTTATCCCTGCTGGGCATTTCTCAGAGACAGACAAGTTTCTACCCAGCAGTGAGTACTTAGTCATAAGAGTCCCACCAGGCCCCACAGTATGGCCAGGAGTGGTCTAGTTTTCAGAGTTGCTGACTAGCCAGAAGGCCAACAGAGCTGTGCATCCCCACTAGAAGTCTCAGCAACTCCACAGGGTAGTGAGTGAGGCTGTGGAGGGAGCTCCCAGCCTTCTCTGTCCTACACACCCCTGGAGTGTGATTTAGAAACCCTGACCTATATAATCACCCAAGACTCCAGGAAAATCTAAAACCCATGAATAATTCAGGATGGCATTTTGAAGTACATCTGCTTAGTTATTCAAATCAGCCCCTCCAGCCACTGCAGAGAGGCAATCAGGATGGGCATCCCACAGTTTCAACCTCCCCGGCAGAACAGAGGCTGCCTAAGCTGCCTGGAAGGATGGGGGAAGAGGGGAGCAGACTCACCCTGAGCCCTGCAGCTCCTCCAGATTGGATGCATTCCATTCAGAGCCCTGGGGGACAGATCACACAAATCCCCATGAGTGTCACTTGTCAGCCTTAGAGCTGCTTGATGGATGCAGTGGCCTAGGCCTGATAGTGGGGCCTCCTTTCCAGGGTCTTGGCCTCGGAGCAGAGACAACTAGGAGAGACTATCCAGGCAGGTTCTCAGGGTCCTCAGGAATCACTGAGGATGACAGGGAGGCACAGAGCCTTGCTGGCCCTCAGCCTCTTGGAAACCTGCTTCATCTCACCAAACCCTGCTACTTCCCTTCCCAGTCTGCCATGGGCACAGCCACCAGAGGCAGTGACCTGTGACCTTATCATCACTAATTACAGTGGGAATTGTGCTACCTTTTCTGGGAAGTATTTTGGCATTATTTTTTAAAAGTTCCCACCCTCTGACCCAGTAATTCCATTTTACAAAAAGCTGTCCTGAGGAAATGCCTAGAGCTCACAGAGAGTTAGGAACAAGGGTGTTTAGAGTTATTCAAAGAAACAATGGGACCCCAAAGATCCAAGAGGAAGGAATCAATAAAATAAATGACAACAGATTCTTACGATAAAGAATAAAGGTTCATGCCTGTAATTCCAGAACTCAGAAGGCAGAGGCAGGAGGATTGCCATGAGTTTGAGGCCAGCCTGGGCTAAACAGTGAGTTCCAAGCCAGCCAGAGATACATAGCAAGACCTTGTCTCAAAACAAGACAAATAAGAAATACAATAAATTATTCATCGTTTTGGAGACCGCTTAGTGGTGTAAGGAAACAGCACTTAAGGAAAAATACAATAAAGCAAGTAGGACACAAAAGGACACAAACAAGCAATAAAATATGCCCCTTCCCTTTCCTAGAAGCACTAAAACCCACCGCTGGAGGTCAGAGTTCAATTCCTAGCACTACAAGAAAAACCAAAACCAAAAACCAAACTCAAAAACGAGAAAGAGAAAATGGAAAAATAGATATATCAAACTGTGAAGTGATGACCTCTGGGTGTGGGAGATTAGAAATTTTTTCTTCTTTAAAATGATTTATCAGGGAAATCTGAATTTTAATGATGCTTTTTCCTTCTTTGAATACTCTGCACTGTGGGCCTTCTGTAACTACTAATAAATGTTAATAAAAAGTGATTTAAACTTCCAACTCTCCATGACATGTATGAATTATATACTTTAAAAAGGGTATCATTAAAAAGGAGCCTATTCCTGAGCATTCAAAGAACACGGAGGGAAAACAAAGCAAAGCCAATCACTTTGCTCTTGGGAAATGCAGGCCTAGCAGTCACACAGGGCAGACACCCAGGGTCTGAGTCTCCCTACTAACTTCCTCTCCTGAGCTCCCCGGGCCCTTCAGGGCCCAGGGCTCTGACCACGCTGGCAGTGATTTTCATATCTGAAGGACAGCCTCAACCATAAAAATTCCTTTAATATCTCTCATGGAAAGAATGACACAGGCACCAAGCCTCACCAAAAAACTCCCTGACAGGTCCAGGAAGCCTCTGAGAGTCCTCTGGCCATGACCACCACCTAGTGGAGAGAGTGGAGGAAGGTATCTTCCCACTGCTCTCAGAGAGGCCCTGCCTGCCTGGCTTCAAGGTATGGACTTCCCATCTACACACTCACGTCCATCTTGATGGATAAAGCATGAAATCTGTACATGCAGGGCGATCCACACATAAAAATAAGCACATTAAAATATACATTTAACACTCAAGAGGCCGAGGCAGGAGAACCACACATTCCAGGATAGCCTGGATTACACAGTAAGATCCTGTCTCAAGAACCCTTTGCTTTCACTAAATAAAAGCAGTAAATAAAAACATATATAGCTGGGCAGCATGGCGCACGCCTTTAATCCCAGCACTCGGGAGGCAGAAATAGGCAGATCTCTGTGAGATCAAGGCCAGCCTGGTCTACATAGTAAGTTCCAGGCCAGCTGGGATTACAGGGCAATCCTGTCTCAAAAAGACTGGAATATAATAATAATTAAATATATATCATATATATTTACATATATATGTTTTATATATACACATATATGTAGCCCTTTGGGGGACCCCGAAGATGAAGACTGAAGAGACCAAAGTTACCCCCTCCTCAGTGGCCAGTATCTTCCTCCTCCTCCTCGAACCATGGCTACCATTCATAACCAGGCCTACAGAAACTATAGTTGTCACCTTCAGAATGTATCTTACTTAACTGTCACAATCATTCCATGAAGTGCAAGATGAAGAGAGAGAGAAGCTAAGTGACTGGCTATAGGCCACAGGGCAGGTGAGGGGGTGGAGTGGGAACATGGCCCTGCTGGGTCTGACTTTCACTCCACTCCATGATCTCTGAGCTAATTTTAGTAGCATGCCTGCCTTTGAAAACTTGCCAGTTGCCTTCTATGGAGATTTATGGCATGAAGACACTGAGCTGGAGGTACAGAGTCGGCACAATCCATCCAGAGCAACATGACAGGAGTGGACCCTTCCAGTGCTCTTAGGGAGCAGGACTCAGAGGGGAAGTCACGATTCCTTCAGTTGTGTGATCTGCCTGCCCAGCAGTTTCTCATGCCTCAGATGCTGAGGAATAATTCTTGATTGGTGAGTATATGCCTGTTAGTAAAGGAGTTCTGTGAGCCCCCATTTGGAGGTGGATGGGTCCTCTGCATTAGAGGCAGAAGACAAAGGGCACTGAGGGTCTGAAACCAATGTCACCTGACTATACCAAATTGCTTCCAAACTATTTCGTGCAGCTCGGCTGGAGCTGTATCTGAAACATCTGGCTCCAGTGCAGACTAGCAAGCCAGACAGGGGGAGGTCCCGGCAGTCAGGGTAGGGCTCCAGGGACTCAGGCCTTTTGTCTGCTTTTCTCCCCCACTACAAGCTCCCAACAGAAAGTCTGATTTATGGTCCCCAAACCAGATACTGCCACAGGCTGTGCCTCTTACGAGATAAAGATGATCGAAGATAAGGGAGGGCTTGTCCATCTGTCCCAAGATAAGAAGCATCTCATTGTCGATGAATTCCTTGAATTCCTTGAGGTTACAGTTCATCTGTTTCTCTAATTCATTACGGATCTGTGGAGCAGAAAATATTACAAGTGATCTGCTAGAACAGCTGCCCACCTCCACACTATTGAAACCACAATGCATCTGTGGCTGTTTTCAGAAAGGATAGATTTTTTTTTTTCCTTTCTTTCCCCCAGAGTGATGCATTTAGATATAAGCAGTACACATGTGTGCAGGAATGTGGTCACTTGGCTGTAAGTTAATCCAACTAGAGGAAGCTTGAGTTTTTCAAACAAGGAACCTGATTTTCCAAAGATCTTTTCTACTGAGTTTAAAACATTTACACATTTACAATTAAATATCAAATATACCAAGAAGAAAGTCACTTTCTTCTTGTTGGGGATGGTATTAAAATATTATTTTAAAAAATGTATTAATTAAAACACGACTTCAGGCTGAGGCAGGAGGATTGATGAAGTAAACCGAGAGCTACATAGTGAGTTCCAGGCCAGCCTGGGCTATAGATGAGATTGTAACTCAAAATAATAAAAAATTTAAACAAACAAATGTACTTTCAACTTCTTTGATTCACCTAGTTTAAGCTGTTAGTATAATTTATTGCATTCATTGAAGAAAAAGCAATAAATAGATAGGGCCAGCATGATGGCTCAGTAGGTAAGGGTGCTTGTCACCAAGCCTGATGACCTGAGCTCAATGCCCAGAACCTACATGATGGAAAAAGAGAACTGACTCCCACAAGTTGTCTTCTGACCTCCACACACATCATACCCCTTCCCAAATAAATGAGTAAATGTATTTAAAATTTTTTTAAAGGAATGGATAAAAGAAAAATGACCCAAGGCAACATTAAACAACAGAAAAGCAGCCCAAGATTTGTAATGTCTCATGTATAACACAAGGCAATGTGGGACAGACAAGAGCAGGAAGGGGAACTGAAGGTCAAGGCTCCTTGGAGGCCTAAGGACTATAGAATTGTCCCCAAAGGTCAGACAGGTAAGGATCAGAGAGGATAGGAAATCAGCCCAAAGTCTCAGTGTTACTAGCAGTGGCGTGGGGACCAAACTAAAGCCTGGGCCCCTTCCACAACCCTGGGGCCACTGCAAAGGAGTGCAGAGGAGCTACCAGGGGCAGGTGAATGGACGTAGAGACTGGGCCTGCTTCTGCTGGACTTTGGCAAGGCAAAAGAACACTATAAGCTTGGGCTGCTATAGGAGGGTCCTCTTACTTCTTTGGAGGTCACGTTTTCGAGATCCTGGCTCATCATGATGCTTCGGAGTTTGGCTTTGATGAGACGCTCAGTTCTTTCCCCCTCAGTTGGCCTGGGAAGAAATGACATGTAAGAAACTGCAGAACCATGGGCGGCCTAAGGTGGAGGTTACAGGAGCATCAGATCCTTGGGGGACTGTGACTTGGGCAGGTGGAAGCTATTCTGAGTGTTATGTGTTCAACTTGGGGAGGGGATGTACAGGAGGAGGAGCCCAGAGTGGAAAGAAAGTAAATTAGTGGGCAGGAGACTTTTCAGAGACTCGCTCCCCATGCAGGCCCCACTATGCTGGAGACTGTAACTACTAACATCTCCACACCTGTGGGCCCTCTGGTCTTCACCTGACATGACCTAGCTGTGGCCATCACTGCACCCTGAGTGGCCTGTCCTAGCTTCTGTCATCTCTCACATAAAATCAAAGCCTGTGACTCCCCTATAACTCCTACATGCCAGCACTGATGTTAACTAAGTCTTGGGACCATAAAGGCCAGGACAGTCCTGCCCCAGGACAATTCAACTACCTAAGGTAGCCACCACCATTCCCCATTCCTTCTCATGACTTCTTGGTGGCCTCTAGTCATTTTGGCTGCTCTTTTCTGGACACACTGGAGCTTGTCAACAGCCCTCTTAAAACTGGTATTCCAGCAGAGCATCACCTTCTGAGGGAACAGGACCCTGATCCAGAGAAGCCTGAACAACTCCCTTTTCTTTAAACTGGACTTTAGGGGCTGGAGAGATGGCTCAGCAGTTAAGAGCACTGACTCTTGGGTTCGATTCCCAGCACCCACATGGTGACTAACAACCATCCATAACTCCAGTTCCGGGGGAATCCAATGCCTTCTGACTTTCACGGGCATTGCATGACATAGGTGCACTTACACACATGCAGGCAATACACCCATACACATAAAATAAAAATAATAAAATATGTTTCAATTGGATTTTAGAAAGCGTGGCCTCAGGTCACACACTTGGCTGTGGTTGCTGTGAAGGCAGACTGCCCTCAGGAATCAAGGCACCCAAGACAGTAGACTCAGAGTTCATATTCTCCCGAGAGAAGGCATTCCAAATGAAGTCACTAGCAACCTACAGGGACAAGGTCTGGACACAGAGCACCTGCAGGACAGGAGATACAGGGCAGAATGTTCCTGCAGCCATCTGATGGGAGGGAGGGACGTGCTCTACACAAATGCACTTATTTTGGTGGGAGGGGCCTGCTGCAGATGCTTTTTGTGGAGACTGCCCACAGGCTTAGGTTAGAGCCCTGTTTCAAAAACTGGTTCTGGGAGGACAGGTGTGGTTGTGCATGCCTTTAATCCCAGCACAGAGACAGGGGCAGGTGTTATCTCTATGAGTTCAAGGCCAGTCTGGTCTATGTAGTGAGTTCCAGGCCGGCCAGGGATACATTGTGAGACCCTGCCTCAAATACTCCCTGCCTGCCACAAAAAAACCCTTGCTCTGGGAAGGGGCTCTCAGTGGAGAGGCTGTAAGAAGGCGGCCACTACACATACTTGTCAACAAACAGTGCTGGGGAGTCGGGTCGCGTGGACTCCAGGTCCTGCATGGCGTTCCATTCATTGATGCAGCTCTGCTCGGAGCCGATGCAGCTCTCATAGTAGGTGGCCCAGACAAGCGCCACACCCCCAGGGAAGTAGTTGTGCCTTCGTGCCACTTCACAAGCTTTGTGAAGCACTTGCAGGGCAGACCTGGAGTTGGGAAGGGAGAGACTCAGGCCTGGGGAAGCACAAGAGGGGTTAGGGTCTCCCACCCGCAAAGAGTGGAATGGGGCAGTAGGAAGGGCGGTTCAGAAAGGAGGCTCTGCTTACATGGTGTGTGAGACATGTGACAGCTGTCAGATCCCAGAGCCAGTCTCTAGACCTGTGCATCAACTGAGTCCACGAGTGGACAGACTGTCCCCAACTGTTTCCAAAAGAATGGACAGGAGTAGTGGCAACCCTCTTACAGCTTCATAATGATTCCAAACAGGCTGTTTCACATTCCATCAACTAACTCTAAAGAATTAAGACCTACTATTCAAGCCACAATAGCTTTGAATGCAGGACCCCAAGGCAGCCTAGCGGTGGGAAAGAAACAGAGAGTAAGGACATCTGCCTTAGGTCTTAAAATACATATTTTTTTAGTCACCGTCTTTTATTTCTTTTGACAAAAATTCAGGCTGAGAATTTCTCAGCCAATGGGGTGACTGAGGTATCAGCAAAGGGCAGAAGGGGCCTCTGAAGGGAGGGAGGATGTACCAGAGCTGGCTTGCACGACGGCACACAAACTGCCGGCCGCCTCACCCTCCTCACGTGTACATACTGTCCTACCTCTAGGCTGGTTGAGAGAATAAACTAAATTTAGCTCTGGTTCCTCAGAATTTAGAACGTGTGGGACACAAAAAACATCTGGGGCATCTACTGGTTGGTTCATCCTCAGAATACTGACTTCATGCCCCCCTCCATGACCCTGAATTGAGTGCAGAGTCGGGTAACAGGAGGGAGTGAAACAGCATTAACCAGTGGCCACGAGAGAGCTCTGCATGAGAAAAGGGGTCGCTTTGGAATGCTCATCTGGTGCCCATCTGGCTCAAGGCTTTTTCCAACTTATTTGGACTATTCTTTTACACTTCATACAGGAACAGTTTAGCCCACTGGAGTGTCCAGGCTTTTGATACCATATATGACAGTGTCATCTACAAATGTGTTGAACCATATCCACGTCTCTCCTATGATGTATGTGGCTCCTGGGCCTGAGGTTGGACTTCCCTAAGAGGAAGATCTAAGATGAGCCACGTTCTGGGAAGTATGGGCATGACCACTTGCCAGTGCGGTGTTCACCCAGACACTGCATCCCCAAGGCAGAGGGGGTCCCAGGGCAACCCTTCCTGTCCCGGAATCCAGGACCTACATACAACCAGTATTCTGAGGCCCAACACCCCATAAGAACACCTGCCCAGCTTTCTTGGTATGACATAAGATTTTGTTCATGTGTGCTTGACCACTCTCTCAACACACTTTAAACTCTAAGAGGCAGATCTGTGTCCATTCTATAGTCCCTCAGAGCCCCAGCGTAGCAGAGTGCTGTACAAACTTCACTGCACAAACTGTGTGCCAGGTACATGGATTAAGTGAATTTATGACAGGATGGCATTTATCAGCAGGTTGATAGGTTAAACTGCTCAATAATAATAATAAAGTTTAAAATGGGTATAGTATTTGAATTTTCATTTTTCCAACAAAGACATCACATAATAAAAAAGCATATGAAAAAATGTTCAACATTAACTATCATTAGGAAAATGTAACTTAAAACCACACTGAGGGGCTCAAGAATGGCTCAGTGGTTAAGAGCACATACTGAATTTGGTTCCCAGCACCTACATTAGGTGGCTCATAGCACCTGTAACTCCAGTTCCAAGGGTTCCAATGCCCTCTTCTGGCCTCCATGGCTACTTGCACTCATGTGGCATGCATGCACAGGCAAAAACACAGAAATACATAATTTAAAAAAATTTTAAAAAACATATTGGGCAAGGGGCTGGAGAGATGGTTCAATAGTTAAGAACACTTGCTGCTCTTCCAGAGGACTTGGGTTCAATTTCCAGCACCCACACGGTAACTAACAACTGTCTGTAATTCCAGTTCCAGGGGATCCAACACCTTCTCTGGCCTCTGCAGGCAATGTATACATGTGATGCACTTACATACAGGCAGGCAGAATACACACATGAAATAAAAAGAATATATAAAATATTTTAAAAAAACACACTGAGGGGCTGGAGAGATGGCTTATTAGTTAAGGGCACAAGTCCAGTTCCCAGCACCCACATGGTGGTTAACAACTGTGCCTAACTCCAGTTCTAGGGGACCCGACACCCTCCTTTGGCCCCCACAGGCACCACACACACACACACACACACACACACACACACGGTGCACTTCTATATATGCAGGTAAAACACTCATACACATAGAATAAAAATAAATAAAAATTTAAAATTTAAAAACACATTGAGATACAACATCATAGCCATTAAGATAGTGATTAATAAACATAACAAGTGAACAGGAGTGGACAAGGATCTGGAGAAACTGGAGCCTCCTATTTTGCTGGTGGGAGTATTTGCAAAATGATGTGGGAAATAATTTGGTAGTTCTCCAAAGGGTTAACAGAATTACCATAGGACGCCACAGTTCTTCTTTGTAGCTACAGACTCAAAAGACCTGAAAGCAGAGCCTCAAACAAGCAAGTACACAGGCCTGATAAGAGCAGCAGTTTCTACAAGAGCCAAAGGCAGAAAAGCACCCAACAGGTGAGCAGATAAGACACAAAATGCAATGCTATTTGGCTTTGTAAAAGAGTGAAATGCTGATATGTGCTACAACATGAATGAAGTTATGTTAAGGGAAAAGAGTGAGGTGCAGAAGGACAAATACTGTGTGAGTTCACTCATGTGGTTCTGAGAATAGGTGAGTTCACGAGGACAGAAGAAGGGAAGAGTTTCTGTCTGGGATGATGAAATGGTTTTGTAAATGGACAGTGGTGATGGCTGCCCAACGCTGTGAATGTACTTAACTGACACTGAATTAAACACCTTGCAATAGCTAAAGTGGTTATTCATGTTACATGTGTTTTCATACACACGCACACACACACACACACACTCTCTCTCTCTCTCTCTCTCCTACATTAGCTTCTAAATAGAAGTGGTTTTTCTATTCATGCTGTCAGAAAAATATTTCTAAGGAGCTGAAAATCCATTAAACCACACTTACCACATGGCCTGGACAGACACAGGCTTAAATATGTGCATCCTGCCTGCTGTGCTCACGCTGAACCCACTGAGAATGGAAAACAGAGAAAAAGACATGGTGGTGAGAACACTTAGAGACCTTGGGATCAGTCCCACCTTGGACCCAGGCAGGCCTCCCACTCTCCCATGAGGGATTTTGGTGCTGCCACATTAGACAAGGACAAAATCAGAGAAGCTCCTGTCAATCAAGACTTGTTTTCAAGCCCAAGAGGTAAGCTCTACAATGATAGCAAGTCTAGTAAAGGGTGTGAGGCAGAGCTTCCAATATCATCCCTTTCTTCCCACATGGCTCCTGTCCGTCTGCCACTTGCTAACAAGCTCCCTTCCCATGAGCTACATCCCCACCTAGAAAACACCCTCATTCTCACAGCACTTAAACAAAGTAAATCTTTATTCTTCATTCCAGTTCTCAGAAGCCTTCCCGGAATCCCATGGCAAGCAGTTTCCTATTTCACTTCTTTCCTCCCATCACAGCACCATGCACTTCCCTGGGAGTGAGTGCGGGTGGAACCCAGATACACCTTCAACCCTTATTAACGTGCCCAGGCTGAGCTGGTTAAGTCCTCCTCTGAAGCCCCTATACTGGCACCTGGGACACTGCTGGACTCATCAGCTGTGTCCTTCCTGGCACCCAGGATGCGGTGAGTTACTCCACTGTGTTACCTTGACCTGCCACCTCTCAGGGCACAGCCCAGGGCAGGCCGAAAGTGAGTATTAAGAGATCAAATGTCAGTTGGATGCTGTTCTTGAACTTCAGGCAACAGCAGACCTGGTGTAACCCATTTCCAGCGTTATTTCACATGCTACACTCCCTTAAAGAACATCCAAAGTGCATCTTCCTATGAGCCTCGCTGGAAAGCACCACCATATCTAACACAATCAGCCCACCACACATGGGTATCCCAAGATTCAGTCCCCGCTGGTGCCCTGGTATACAGGGAAAAGAATTTTTAAAGGTATGTCTGTACCCGTCTCCATCGAGGTGGATCTTGGTGTCACTCCACAGTCGGAGAACCATCCCGATGGTACAGCTTTTGCTACATGGGGAAGAGAAGACACTGGAGTCAGCTGCCCATGCACATGCAGTCTTCCTTCTGTCTCTGTGCCCTGCTGGTCCAGGCTACAAATGTCCACATTGGACCTGGGACAAGCTGCTGTGTATACATAGGGAAGGAGCTCCCACACTGTCTGGGTAGGGTCCACTCACTACTGGATTCTAGAAAACACAGGTCTGGGGTGGTCTGGCTAGTGGGAGTCAGCAAATGCCCGAACCATTTTCATGTGGCTGTAACTCTACAAACTGACTGAGGCACTTGAGTACTGGGGACAAGCAGCTGACCCCAACACCCACACTGCAGTGGGGGAGAACTACTAGGGGCCATGCTTAGCCATGGTATGCAGGCAAGTAGTGACAGCCAATCCCAGCCTTGTGTGTCCTGGAATAAAGGAGACAGGAGGGTCCCCGCATCACTCCTTCAGCTTACACTCATACTTGTTTTTCTACCTTTCATGCCACTGCCATTTTATGAACTAGCTCAACCTAGTTCTGTTTTGTCTGTCCTATCAGTGAAATGATACTCACCTACTTCAGAGACTGGCACTACTTACAAACAGAAAGCAAGGCTTATCAGGGGTCTCCTCAGATTGTGATGAAAACTCTCTGGGCATTTATAAAAAGAGTTAGCTTTTGAGAAACTGCTGTGACTGTGCCAAGGGCCAACCCCACACCCCTCAGGAATCCTGAGCTTGTTATCTCTGCCACAGCTTACCAGGCTCTCGAGGGTAGGAGGGAGATGTTATGCCCAGGCACTCTGGAGCTCTGGGAGCCACCTCATGTTCTAGAGCATGGCCCACCAAGTGCATCCTTGTGATCCTGTGCTTCCTATCTGTGGGGAAGGGAGTTTCAAGGCTTCCAGGTTAAGCTGGACTAAGCTTTGAGCTGGGCAAGTTCTCTAAGTCCCCTTCCTGCAGGTCTACCCATTTGCAAAGGTCTCTCTCTATTTCCTTTGTGGAGCTGGAAAATAAGATTCATGTTGGGCCTCACGGAGCTCTGAGACCCACTCAGCTGTGTCAGCCAAGAAGCAGGGATCATTTGGAGCCCCCAAATGACACACAGATTGCCTGGGAATGTGGAAGACCCAACTTAAGCAAAGTCTCAAGGAAGATAGGGGAATTTCCAGGAAAGGCAGAGGCTGAAATTGAAGAGATCAGAAGGGAGCAGGTGAGGGCGACACTAGCAGATGGACAGCCCGGGGGACTAGAGCCCAGTGCACCAGCCACACTATGACATGACAGTAAGAATTCCACAAATTCCCCACGGCTGTTATTACCGTGACTCTCCAGTATTCCCAAGTGACTGACAATGAAGTTCGACAGTGGAGGAGGAGGGCCTGTGGGTGATATACGCAGGCAGCAGGGAAGGGCTGGAGTTAGAGAAATTGCATCTTTATAGAGGCTGAATGACCCTGAAAGATGAGGGGAGTGGGAACACTGTGGGAGAAGAGAGCAGGTTCCAAGTCTCTGTGAGACAAGAACAGAGACGCTGGCTGGACCTGGACTGGCCTGGACATGCAAGAAGAGGCAGGCCCAGCAGGAGAGCCCATTTGAAAGATCTTTTTTATTTATTTATTATTTACCATTTATTTACTGAGTGTGTGTTTGGGGTGTGTGTGCATGCTTCAGTGTGTGTCTAAATATCTTTTAAAAATATTTTATTTGTTATTTTTATTTTATGTGTATGAGTGTATTATATGTATATAAGTACACTCATGTTGTGCAATGCCTCGGAAGTCAGAAGAGGGCATGGATCCCCTGGTACTGGTGTTACGGACGGTTGTTAGCTGCCATGTGGGTACTGGGAACTGAACCTGGGTCCCTCTGTAAGAGCAGCTAGTGCTCTTAACCACTGAGCTCTCTCTCCAGCCCCATTTTGGAAGATCTTTACAGATGACAAAACACTACTAGGTGGAGGCCAATATTACATGCCTAAGACACTGAAAATGCGTGAATCTGAAGCACAAAGTTAACCCCAGGTCAAATCTGTGATGGCCATCCTGGCTCCCAAGGGAGAGCCTGCGGACTCAGAATGCTAATGGAACTGGAGAGGGGGCTTCAGGCCACCACTCCTTCAACAGTCTTCTCTAACATGGCTCTTGGATGCTCTCTCACTGGGAACCCATGAGGTCACACTGAGGGGGCAGTGTTTCTCCCTTACCCCCACAAAGAAAACAAAACAGGGCAAGCATTCAGAAAAACAAGAGAATCATTACCTGGCAGGGCAGAGATTGCTGAGGAGGCCGGGGGGGGGGTAGGGGTTTCTTCCAGGCTCAGAGACAGCAGGACAGCCTGGTGCTCAGCTGCTACCACAACAGCGGAGAACGGCAAACCTACCTCCTTCCCTGACCTGAGAAAATGCCCAGGTACAGAAAACATGCATCACAGCTGCCTCGGTTCCAACTCCAGGGAAGGGCCCTTAGTTCCAGTCACCCATCACTCTCTGGACCCCCTTCCTAGGCACAGGAGATGGACACTGCCCTGGGGTTGACCCTGAAGCCAGGCTGTGGCTCTAGCTCAGGGTCCAGCTAGGGAGCCAGGGACCCATGAGAACCAAAGCTGAAGAGCTGAAGGATGGCAAGGAAGGGGAGGCATGAATCTGTGTGCACATGTACATGTCTAATGACCTTCCGTGACCTTGGAGTGCACCAGCACAGGTCATGTCTCTTGTATTCACTGATGCAGTTCCAGTACCTGGAAGGTCTGGCACAAGGGCTAACAAGTGCACATGTGACAAGTCCCAGAGTGAGTGAATGAACGAGTTGTATACAGGAGGGCTGCACACATCAAGAAAGAAGTGGGCTGTTGTACTGAGCTTTTTCTTGGACTTTACCCCTGTAGCCATGGCAACTAGAACAGACCCATACAGTGGTAGTCAAGTCTTTTGGTAGTGAAAACTGGCACCCCTTAGGGAAGGTCTGGAGACCCTCACCTGTAATTCTCACTATTACTCCCTTCCCCAGTTGCAGGGGACCTTGGGAGCCCCTAGACCATGTAGAGAAGTAAAAGTCTCACTGATAGTGGGACTCTGTGATGCACCTTCCATGAGGCTGCCATCCATGATGGAACTTTGTGATGATGCAGCTGTTTGGGGTCACCCTCACTTGTGCTCTGTTAAGACAGCCCAATAAACTCAATGATCTGTCATTGGTGTCCATCTAGGGTGGCTTTATAATCTTTTGCATCTTCCCAGTTAACCTAAGTTAACACGTTAATACAAGTCAGAGTCCTGGCCAGCTAGACCCTGAGATGACCATGTGGAATTCACTTCAGCCTCTGAGCTCCCGACTCCTCATCTGTATGATGGGAAGCAGGATTCCTACCCAGAAGGGTGCTTCAGGATTAACTGAGCAGTTCCCTGGATATCTGGCTAACAGTACTGTGCTCTGCAATGTAAGCAACAGAGATGATGGTGAGATCTGACTCCTGTGAGGCTTCTATAGTAAGGGCTAAAATGAGGGTACACTGCCAGGCATGGCAGCACACACCTTTAATCCTAGCACTTGGGAGGCACAGACTGGTGGATCTCTGTGAGTTCCAGGCCAGGCTGATCTATATAGTAAGACTGTCTCAAAAAAAAAAACCCCAAAACAAAACAACAACAAAAAACCAGACCACAGGAGACAGGCCCTTGTTCATGACCAGAGTGGACTACATGTGGTGAGAGGCATCCCTGGAGGGTTCCTACAGGGCTGAGTACTCATTTGAAGGACAATTCAATGCTGCTAAACACTAATGTCAGCCTGGTGAGGAGGCACATGCCTATAACTGCAGCACTCAGAAGGTTGAAGCAAGAGGATCACAAGTTCCACAACAGCCTGAACTATACAGTGAGAGTCTGCCTCACAACCATCCAAAAAGATAGGCCTTAGACTACTTCTACAGAATCTGCCTGGTGGCATCTCACTCTCACACCGAGCCCTCCACTCCCTGGTAACCCTACAGAGCGCCTCTTCCAAAACATGGCATGCTGCATGTTTTTCTAGATCATCCCTGACCCACACAAAGCCACAGATGTAGCTCTTCCTCTGATCCCTTCTGTGTGCCTCAACAATTTCTCATGGTGCCATGAGGCAATTGAGGAAAAGAGACAAAATAAATGTCACTCACACCTACCATGCAGCAGAGTCTTGGTCACCAGCTGTTGTCTCTGGGACTGTCTTCCTGCTACTGATTTGGCATGAACTGCAATTCAGACCCTCCTGCCACCCTGTGCACCCTTGTAACCACCTAGCTGCCTACTGGTCCTTACAACCCAGGTGGCATCACCCACCCGCCCATGTTCTCTGGCATTGTCTCGGTGCTCTCGCGTCTGTGGTGGTGACACTGCCTTCTATGCTAAGCCTCTATGGGGCCCAGAACTCTGTGTACTGAAGTGTCTTGGCTTGCTGGGGACCTAGCCCATTGATGGTAGGGGTGTGCCAATAATAGATCTGTCTATGACAAGCAACAGGTGGAGTTGGGGTATTATTCTGACAGATCTGGGGTTTGCCATGACTTGCTGCACATGGGCCTTTAAAGGCACAGACACATACACACACACACAGGTCATGAGGTAACTTATGTAGCCTCCTATTACAGGGAAATGTCTTCAACCCTCTGAGCAAGGACCTGCCAGAAACCACTGGGGGATCTACAGCATATCACCACCAACCAGACACCCCTGTGTGGGGTGTCTGCCCATCCTTCAGTGCTCATTTTAGCTGTTGCCCCCTTCGAAAGCATTCCTGGCTAGGCACCATTACAATCTGAGGTACCCACCAAATGTTCCTGTGCTGGAAGCTGGAGAGGAGGTGGCACTTTAGAGCCGGGGCCTGGTGGGAGGTGACAGGTGAATTAATGCTGGCTACACAGAGTCAAAGCAGTTCCTGTAAGAAGGAGCCTGGCATCTGCTGCTTCTGTCTGCCTGTCTCATCACATGATCTCCACACATCATCCCATCTCTGTGACGCTGTTTACCATGAGGCCCTTGCCAGAGGCCAAAGTGAACTTTCACACTGGACTTGCAGCCTCTAGAACTGCGAGCCAAATAAACTTCTTTTCTTTATAAACTATCCAACATCAAATATTTTGGTATATAACACAGAAAGTAGTCCGACACGCCTCCTCTCCTAGAGCTCCTAGCTCTAAGTCTCCAAGCACAGTATATGTTTTCTGCCCTCTCAGTAGATCCCAAACTTGATGACAGCAGAGACTGCATCTGGCACAAAACAGGGCACTTAAGGGCTGGGACAGCATGTTCTCCTGTTCCTGGAGCTTTGTTTGCTCCCTCCCTTCTATAGGCCACATTCCCACCCTCCTCTTCTGCAGATACGGGATATCAGGAAAGTCTTTTGCCAGAAGTGACTGGTCTCCTGCCCTGACAGGAACCACAAGACTCACCTTTCCTTACTGGAGAAGTCAACTCCCAGTAAGATGTTCTCCTCGGTGTCCTGGCGTCCGCTGCTGTATACCACCACCATATAGCGGACACGGTCTGTCCAGGCACTCTCCAGACGTACGGCCTGCAACAGGCAGGGATGATCTCACTGGTCTACCACCAGGTGGGCCGCCCTCCCTCCACCAAACTGAGACCAAGGGCTTTAGTTCTCCACTTTTTTTCCCTTTGCCAGGGAAGAAATGAAGACCAAATTCTTGAGAGCAGGACCAGGTCTCACTTACAACCCTCACACCATGGAGACATCTGCTGCAGAGGGGGCGCTTAACTATGTGCAATGAGACACAGGTGAAATGCATGAGATTTATGTTTAGCATAGACGACCACAGAGACCTGATACACCCCTGCTGCTGGCCCTTTTGGGGTGCTGGAGATGGAATCCAGGGCACTGTACAGCCCAGTAACGTGCTCTACTACTGAGCTGCATGTCAGTGCCTGGCTTTGGTCTACAATGTGGGAGAACGCGTACATATACAGAACCCCCCGCCCACTGCATTATTGAGAAGGGGTCCCTCGGTGTTTCATCCCACCCTCAGCTCTTACCAGCTTGATTCTGTCTTCACAGCGTAGGAGGTTGATCATCACTTGGAGATGCTGGGGCAGGTCACCTATAGGACCAAAGAGGAGTTTAAATGGTTACCCACCTACTTTCTAGGAAAAAGAAACTCCGACAGCCTGGAAGATCAGAGGCTAAAATTTCTCTACCCAAGCATGGGAGAGATGTCACACTGACTCTCACACAGACTCCTTCCTGCTCTCATTTCCCTCCTGGACCCTGTGATAAGGACAGGTGATACACAGCTTGTGTGCTGCTGTGGAAAGACTATCAGTGGTTTTTTAAATATAAAATTAGGAAAACACACACAGGCCTGGGGAGAACTATTACATCCAAGCAAACATTCCTGGGCAAGGTGGGGAGGCCCAAGTTACAGCTGGAGTAAGAAGTTTGCCAAGGGCTGAACCAATGACCAAGTGTCATTTACCCTCTTCAAACTCTTCTACATTTTCTGCAAGAGCTGGATGTTATTTCTAGACCCTGGGGGAATGTCTAAGTGATTACAGACAAAAGCGCTATGTGGGGTATCCAGAGAAATTATTTGAGGAGAAAACAATCTGCTATTGTCTTTTCATACAAAAAGTTATTAAGGTATTCTTTCTTTTTCCCTTCATTGCTAAAAGAAGTAATAATCTAGCAATCTAAGGCGGCAACAATCCTCCTGCCTCAGCCTCCTGGATTGGTGGGTCTACAAGTAAACACCATCATTCCCAGCTAGGGAAAGTTTAAGATTTTTTTAAAAATTAGGTATATATATGTGGGGGGTGTATGTGCATGTGTGAGTACAGGTGCCCGCAGAGTCCAGAAGAGGACACTGATCTCCCTGAAGCTGGAGTTGCAGGTGGTTGTGAGCTCAGTGCTAGAAACCGATCCTTTGTAACAGGAGTACATGCTCTTAACCATTGAGCCATCTCTCCAATCCCCTCTCCACTTTGACACAGTCTCACTATGTAGCCCAGGCTGGCCTCAAAGTTATACCCCTCCTAGGGCAGGCTTTGAACTTCCTTGGGAGCCTCTAGGTTGAGGTAAGGAGAATTTGCAGAGCTCGGAGGAAGTAAGCTCACTGGAGGTCTGGGTATACCAAAAAGGAGGGGCTACTGTGGCTGAGGTGCATCAGGTAGGGATCCCAATACTGCATTTCCACTAGCCTAACTCACCCTCCTAAATGCTCGCACGGTTTCATGTGAAGAAAAGGCTCATCTGTAAATATGCTGATTTAGATGAGGGTATGAGGAAAACTAAAAAAATTTGATCCAGTTCAATTTTGTGCCCCAAAGAAACAGAATTACCTTTTTAAAAAAATAAATTGCTCTGTAGGGAGCTGAGAGTGTGGCTACGTGGTTACAGCACTGTCTAGTATGCAAGGCCCTGGGTTCCAGGCCCAGCGCTGCAGGGAACAACGTGACAACAGCACCACGGTCTCTAGGTTTCCCGAGGAACCCTGGAAGGAGCAACACTGAGTTTTGGGGTCAGATGCTTCAGCAAAGTACAATAACAACTCCTTTTGCAAAGAGCATCTTTTCATTTTAAAGCAGAATGACTGACATGCAAAGTCTAAATGACACTTCCTGCCACGTGTAGTGGCACATGACTTTAGTCCCAGCACTTGGAGGATCTCTGTGAATTCCAGGCCAGCCACGGCTACATAGTGAGACCCTGTCTCAACCCACCCCCCCAAAAAACAACCCCCCCAAATCCCAAACAAACAACAAAGAAGGGCATTTCCTGTCTCAGAGAAATCAAGTTTTCAGAAACTTGCCCCTCTAGTCAGGAGGGCAAATCTCATGTTCAGTGTTCTTTCCACAATAAATAAAACTTGAAGGAAAAAAAAATAAAAACATAACTAAAGGTGCTGCCAGTCCCCTGTCTTTCCAATGAGAAGATGCACCCTACACTGGAACTGCTATCTGTGAGGTATGATCTGCAGATAATGGCTTTCTTCATTTAAGGGGGACCCCACTTGCCATGTCTCCAAAGCCATGGTATCACATGGCCACCACACGTTGGTTCTACACTGTCCTGGGTCCTCCCACCACCCACCCTAAGTTACACAAATGAAAGCAAACCCCAATTCCTGTGCTCCATAAATACCAGGATGAAAGGCATTTTGCACACAGATAAACTGCTTTCAGTGGGACTTGCAGCTGAGATGTGAACTGCTGACAGACAGAAATCCACACCTCCAGCCTGACAGCCACACATAGATCGGAGGACAGAAGCCAAAGTCCAGGCCCCACATAGGGCCTCAAATCGATTGGACAGGCTGAATTCAACCTGATCAGCTTCTCTGTGGACAGAATGAACCCTTGATTAATCCACTCTGCAGAGTGGTTAATGAAAGAACTTAATGGCAATTCTAGTAAAAAAGAAACAAATGCAGAGTCTAGACCATGTCTGCCTCACAGTTATGTGTTGGCTATCCCAGGTCAATGGTAGCTTTTTTGCCTTCCTGAGCCACCAATGGTTCTGGACCCCAAGGACAGAAGGGTCAGCCAGTCAGTGGCTTCCTTCCTGCCCTGTGTGCATTCAAGGGACACAGAGACCAGCTTTTCAGGAGTTGGGTATAAAGTGACTTTGCACTTGCTGCCCCAAGTTCACTCACAAAAGGGACAAGTTTCACTCCTTTAAACATTTTTAAAATTTGTTTTTATTTTATATGTATGAGCATTTTACCTGCATGTATGTAGTGCACCATGTGTGTACAATGCCCATAGAGGACAGAAGTGGGTGTTGAATTGCCTGGAACTGGAGTTATGGGCAACTGTTACCTGCCATGTGGGTGATGGGAACTGAACCTGGGTCCTCTGGAAGAGCAATCAGTGCTCTTAACCACTGAGCCGTTTCTCCAGCCCCACATTTCACTCTTGAAGCAAAGCTTGAACATTCTTTTTGTTGTATGTGCTATGGTTAAGACATGGACAATGGCTAAGTTTCTAACACCAGAGATTCAAGAATGATGGTTCTTTCTGTAGTTTTATTAGATAATAAGTCACCGTAGTAATTTACAGCTATTCACAGCATCACTCACTGTAAAGGTGGGCATGTGATGACGTGATGTGCATAATTGTGGGTGTGTGTGCCTTTTGTTTGAGATAGGGTTTGTTACCGGCCCAGAACTCCATCAAATAGACTAGTTAGCTGGTCAGTGAGCTCTAAGGAGCTGCCTGTCTCTACCTCCCATCTTGCCATCACTGAGATTACAAATGCGTGCCACCACACCTGGCCTTTTTGATGTGTATTCTAGAGATCTGGACTCAGGTCCTCGCGCTTTTGAGGCCAGCCCTTTATGAACTCTGCCATCTCCCCAGCTCCCTGATGTGCACAAAGTCTTATTTTATTTTGCTTTTTGAAGCAAGGTCTTGCTTTGTAGTCCACGCTGGCCTTGAACTCATGATTTCCCTGTCTCAGCTTCCCAGGTGCTGGGATTACCACCATGTCTGGCCATATGCATAACTGTTACTTTCCTATTATCTGAGGCCTGTGATGCCCATTGTAAAGATTAGGAAACTGAGGCTCAGAAGTATACTATGCCTGCTCAGGAAATCATAGAACTATGTTAGAAGCCAGGTCTGCTGGCTCCAATGCAAGCTTTTCTTTAAATATTTCATTTATTATTTTTATTTTTTATGTGTATGAGTGTATTGCCTGCATGTATGTAAGTACACCTGTGTCATGTAATGCAACAGAGTTCAGAGAGGGTGTCAGATGCCCTGGAACTGGAGTTATAGATGGTTGTCAGAGACCATGCAGGTACTGGGAATCGAACCCAGGTCCTCTGTAAGAGCAGCTAGTGCTCTTAACCACTCTTCTTTTTAAACAGGACAGTCTCACTATGTAACCTAGATGTCCTGAAACTCACTATGTAGCCTAGGCTAGCTTTGAATTCATGATCCTTCTGCCTCTACCACCCCCTGTGCTGGGCTCATCAATCAACCAGCTCCAAAGCAAATACTGTTTCCATATACCATACTGCTTCCTTGTACAGGACAATGATTTTCTTAGAGGACAACAGACCTACATCTTGATTATAAGTATCAGTATACGAAAATATGGACAGAGCTCTGGTGTTTGCCACAAATTGCAAGGTATGAAATTCTACCCTTAGCACTTAGATCTAAAATGAAGCTCAGAGGTTGGAGGTTAAGCAAACAAAATGAGCACAGAAGGTGAAGAACTGTCTAGTTGCTACTTGGGCTGCAGCTTTGAAAGATAAAGACCTTCCCATCTCTTGGACATTCAAACCCCAGCTGCCTTGGAGAGGTGCCCCAGAGGCCACAACTTATTACAAAGACCCACTTGTATGCAAATGTCTGTTGAATTCCTCTGTCAATCTGTCTTCAGTTTCAGAGTCAAGAAGCTTAAGAAAACCAGTCTTGGAACTTTGGTGGCAGTTCTTACTAGTTTGCTCTTGGACCTATATGAATATTCGATTTGGTCCCAACTTTTTTACTTCTAGCCTTTCCCAAAAGATGGTCATTATAGATTAAAGACAACTCATCACAGTGACTACTCGGAGTGGCAGAATGGAAGCCAAAGGCTCTTACACTGTTTTAGTGGGTTTTTTCAAATGTTTGGAGAAATGGTACAGCCCCAGGCTAGGGATGTAGAACCTGAGGGCTTGATTTCAAAGGACCATCATCCAACTGGAATGCATGTTGGTACAGCTTATTCAAAAGTCATACTATGGCCAGCCTGGTCTACACAGTGAATTCCAAGCTAGCTGGGGCTACAGGGAGACCCTGTTGCAACAAAGAAAGTCACACTATAACTTGAAACCTTCAGGCAACTGATAAACTGCATATAAGGAATCTTTACATCTCAAAAGGGCACTGGCACTGCTGACTTACTAAGTGTGTGTGCATGAGCTTAAAAGGTTCAGTAGCTATGAGTGCCACCCAAGCTTCCACCTGTCCTGGTCATTGCAACCCAGTGTTCCACTATTTCCTTGGCCTCAAGAACTAGCAAATTGCTTCCCACCAACTTCCCCAGAAGATTTTCTGGTTGCAGTTTTGGAGAAGAAGTCCCAGTTTATGAGTATCAACGCAGAGCTGTCACCTGCATGTTTGTGAGGATGCTGAAGACTCCGCTGGCCCTGAGGGCTGTTTCCCTGTTGTAAGAAGAGGGCTGCTCCTTTCACCATGAAAAAGCTCTCGCTTAAGCTGGGAAGAACAAAACCAGAGCACAGTTAGATCAATTTTGCAAGAAAAATGGTCCCAGACACACTGCCGATCTGGGAACGCTTCAGAGCAGACAAAAGGCCTATGAAATGAAATAGGATGAGATAGTTTTAACAACTTCGCACTATCCTCTTCCTGAGCCTCACCTTGCTAACAGCCTGTTGCTGCTATATTCAGTGATGAACACGCTTCTCCTACAACTTCTGACCCCCACCCCGCTTCAGGAGGTCACCAAGAGTCTCTTCTGGGAGAAACTGGACAGGGCTCTTATATACACAGAGAACCCCCCCCCCCTCATTAGCAGAGGGTGATCCATTCACTCTGTGAGCTCCTAACTGACTCCCTGACTTTCAGTACAATCTCTGCTTCAAGGTGCTGTCCTTTGATGGAATATAAAGATGGCTTTCTCAGTGTGTATCCTTAAGAACCCTGGGTGGCTGCTAAATAGTGATTTATGTCAGTTAAGGTTGCCCTGGCCACTATTCTGCAGACGATCTTAAGGCAACCCATATTGAATTTCTCAGCAGAATGAGTTTTTACCTTTGTTGTTACTAAAATAGTAAAAACATTCATATTCAACCTGTAGCTTAAGAAGTCAGAATCAGGGCCAGGTCTATTATCCCAGTTACTTGGAAGGTCAAGCCACATATTGTCTCAAAATAGTAGAAAAATGGGAATATACAGCTCAGTGGTAAAGCACTGGTCTAGCATATAAAAGGCCCTTGGATCAATCTCCAGTTCCCCTCACTACGTTATATTATGACGAAAGACTGAGATGCATAACGGGAGGGAAGGGTCCCAAATAAGCAAACAAACATCCTTGCAATTTTCCACTCATAATTTGGCATCAAAAAAAATTCTTCAGGAGGGGACTGGAAAGATGGCTCAGCAGTTAAGAGCACTGGCTGCTCTTGCAAAGGACCTGAGTTCAGTTCCCAGCACCCATATGATGATGACTACCAAACGTCTGGAACTCCAGTTTCCAGGATATCTGACCCGACTCTTCTGGCCTCTGTGGCACACCGCACAGGTGCACTTACATACATGCAGGCAATATACTTATACACATAAAATTAAAAAAAAATTTAAATTCTTCAGTTTGTGTAGACATTAAGATTTATGAGAGAAGAAAGCCTCAGTTATTAAAAAATACCACAAACTCTGAAAATTATCCACAAAACACACCAAAATACTAATGGTGGCTTTGGTGGGTAGGACTATCCATGATTACCTTCTTTCTTCAGAATTTTCTGAAATTTCCACAGTGAATACAGTAACTTTTTTATGTTTTTGTTTTTTAGGACAGAGCCTCACTATGTAGCCCTGGCTGGCCTGGAACACACTATGTAGACCATGCTGGACTCAAATTCAGAGGTCAGCCAGCTTCTGTGCCTGGCCCCTCCCCAATGCTGGGATTAAAGGTATGTACCACCACTCCCTGCCTGACCAAATATTAACTTTTAAAGGGCTATTTTTGATTTTCAAAGTAACATAAAACACTATAATAAAAATTTTTATCTTTTACTAGTTTTGTGAAAGAGGATCACAGCTTAAATTACAGAGATCTATAAGGTTACAATAATCAAATAAGCAGGGGCTGGAGAGACAGCTCAGTAGTTAAGAACACTGGTTGCTCTTGCAGAGGACCCAGGCTTGATTCCCAGCACACAGTGACTAACAACCATCTGTAACTCCAGTTCCAGGGGAATCTGACACCCTCTTCTGACCTCCACAGGTATCGCATGGCACCAGTGCACTTACACACATGCAGGCAATACTCTCATACATATAAAATAAAAACAGGAAATATTTTTTAAAAAACAAGCAAGCAAACAAACAAAGCAAGCAACAACAAAACTTAGCTAAATCTAGCATGCGACTCTAAGTGCTAAAAAAACATCATTCAAACTAGCACAGGCCGACAGTTTCTGAGACAACTAAGCTTCTATGACAGTGGGTCCATATAAAATCTGTTCATTTTTATGGTCAAATTTTCCCAATGCACAGACTATTCAACTATGAGTGAATAAACCTGGCTCTGCCTCTCACGCTCAGACCTTTGAGTATGACAGCCTGCTATGTTGTGACAGTCACACAGCACTTCTTCCTGTGCCCTGCACACACCCAGCCACTTCCCACTCCATGACTGTCATATACCTGTGTATGAGTTTCAAGTGCTGACGAATCCAGGACTATAAATAACGCAAGGATGAGACAGGCCCTGTCTTTCAGTCTCACCTAACTCCTGGGAAGTGGGAAGCTCTTCAGCACCTACCTGACCCAGTTAAGAGCCAGGCTGTCTCTTTTCTCAGGCTGCAGAATTCCCTTCTTATCACCAAGTCAGCTCTCAGAACTATTCTGATCTCTATGATGCCCATCCAAATCTCAAAGAGCTGTGTGAAAAACTTCCAGTCATGAAACTTAAAATAACCATCAGTTGATTAAAGCAGCAGGGGAAAAGCGTTCAAGGCAACATCAACTCTTTTTGTTCTGAGTTTAGAGGAAAAAAAATCCATACTGACCAGAAACCAGAGCACTCTAGAAACAGTCAACCATTAACAGTGACCTTAGCCTTGGAAACCACAGGCAAAATTTCCCCTTGGTTTCCCTTCCATTTCCTTTGGAAAAAGGGAACAATGATAAAGAACAGGCCCAGTTTACCTCGTGACCTGTTATGAAGCCAGCTGTTCCTTAGTCTGCTAAGAATCGGAGCCTCCCCATCCACCCATGGAGTTGATTAGGGCCCTGAACTGCTGAGGTTTGCATCCTGACATCTCTCAGGTGGTTACTAACCATGGCAAGCCTGAACACCACAGGAAACTGCACTGCTCTCAGGGCTGCGGGGGTTCCCTATGTCCTGGAAATACAGGGTATGCAGCAGAATGTCAGTGACCACAGTGACTCTCAGGCTGAAATCAAGATGCTATGGGGAGGGTGCAAGTGTGGACAGACGTGGACTCTACACAAACAAGATAAAGCTATTCTTCATGCCCTGGCTTCAAGCCCCATCCCGGTCCCACTGCTACACCACAGCTTCTGGTGAGCTCAGGGTGGCTGATGAGCACTGCCCTCAATGGACAGACTGCACCTGGTTTTCTATTCTGAGTCCCTAATACCAAGAGGCTCAAGATCCTGATGTTCTTGAGCCTTGGCGCCTCCTGGGGAAGCCTTCTACCACATACACACCTTTACTAGGTACCGAGGATGAGGATGGGTACCAATCACCAACCACCCATCCTGACCAGAAAAACCAACCTTCTCACAAGTGATTTTAGTACCCTAAAAAGAGTGACAAGTTACAGAAGGTCTTACCCAGATAAAGAGAAATCATTCTCCTCCACAGCTGAAAAATCTTGTCTGCTCCCTACAACCTTGCCCAATGCTTTTATCTCCACAATATGAGTAAATTCTCAGATGCTGCCTACTTCCCATTGGGAAGACCTTGCAAGAGGAAAGTTTCTAAAGCACAGAAGACAGACACAACCCCCAATCATGCTCCCCTGAACCCTGGCCTTCACATGGAGTGCATCCGAACCATTATCTGCAGGAGAATGGAAGTCAACGGGGGCTTACGTACTAGTGTGGGCTGGAAACCTCCGACCGGCAGAGGTACTGAGCTGGCCGAAGGAAGACGCAAAAGTCAGAAAGATAAAAAAGTTCCATGATGGCTGCATTCACATCCTTAACAACCCTGATGAAACAGATGTGCCCAAAGAGGCCTGGCTGTCCGTGCCCTATTGAACAATCTAGGCTGGCCTTAGGGCAGCAGTGGAGTCCTCCTCCTCTGATGGTCCCACCCAAAGAGCAAGTGGCTCTTGTGGCACTGTCATCCTCAGATATTTTGTCTTAAAAAGGCCCTTGTCCCAGCATTCTCCAATGAAAGGCCCCATTCACATGGAACAGAGCCGCTAAAGGTCCTGCAGTCACTGAACTCCCACAGGCTGTTCTGCAGGCATTGGGAACAAGCGATGGGTGTGCATTAGGAACTGGGCGGGAAGCAGCTGGCCACCAAGTACCAAACCCCAGCAACAGGACCCCATCCTGGGTCAAACCCACACACCAAAAGACGTTGCTTTCTTTCAAATCTCCATCCATCCACCATGCAGGGACGTGGGTGGCTGCCACAGTTAGCTACGAGGTGTTTTCAAAAGCAGCTTCACATCTGAAAATGCTCCAGTCACATTTACAGCTCATGGAGGCACCTAGTGACCCTTGGCTGGGGTCATGCCAGGTGGAGGGAATCACATGTGCTTCTGTGAGGAGCTCTGAGAGGTGCAAGGTGTTCCAACAGGCCAAGATGCAAAGCTGCAACAGGCTCCCTCCCAAAGGGCTGGGATGTGATTCCCAAATGACCCAGCAGGAGATGCTGAGCACTGGCTGCATCCAGCCTTGCTTTTGCCCAGGGAAATAGTTAAAGACGTTAATAACACAACTTGGGCCAGAACTGGTGCCCTAAGGAGGGGAACCAGGCAGTGTGAAGGAAGGAAGTGCTTGTAACTGGTAGGCCTGGAACAATTCCTCAAGGATGGTGCACTGAGCCTCTGGAAGGTCTTGTCTGAGCTTCTCCCAGATCCCAAATGGACAGCTAATCTGCACTAGAGGAGTAAGGCAATCACATACTGCTGTTACTCTTACCTCTCAGAGAAGCAAACCACCGCTTGTCCAGGAACACACATCTTTACAGTTGGGGCTGACCTCTGTCCATGTGCCCCACACCCACCTTCCATCTCAAATCCTGGGACACCTTTCTTCTCATCTGGAGGGAAAATCTGCACTTCTACACCACTGCTGCCATCTCTGTGTATGCCTGCCCTGGTGGCCCACCGCAGTGTCACCCAGATACCAGGACACGGAGCATGTCCTCAGTCCTTCCCAGCATCCAAATGCATCATGCACAGCAAAGACTAAGCAATGACTCAGAGAAATAGAACTCCTGGCAGAGAAGGCCTGGCAACAGAATGTTCCACATGCCCAAGGGACAGTCAGAAGGGGTGGAGGACATATCACATCACCTGCTCACTCATACCATCAAGGCTGTGGGACAAGACATGTCATTCAGTCCTGCAGTGAGCGGGCCCACAGAGAAGCCACACTGATCAAGTTTTCTCATGGATGGGGCTCTCCTTCACCCAGGACTGACCTTGTGGCAGAGACTGCCCAAAGTGTTAGCTAGCCATGTCATTTTCTGTGACAATCATCAATAAGCACGCATGCTCCTCTTCAAAGGGGTGTAGCATCATTAGCACAGCAGAGGTCACACTGGGGCCCAAATCCCCTAAACACGACCTTCCCTGGAAGCAGCAGGAACAGTTTAGCTGGTAACTGTTAATGCCTAGCTTCAACCAAATGCCTTCAGTGTCTCAAACACTCTTGACCTCTAAAGGTGAGACATTAGAGGACACGAGATGATGACAGGAACAAAAGACTGGACCTCTGACAAGCCCTGCTGTTGACAAAGCACTTTGGTGGATGTCAGAGGAGGGCAGGCAGAGGCCCTCTGAGTTCAGCTCATCCACCACAAAACTCTGCAAGGCAGACAAAGTTGCCATTATCATTCTGATTTATATCTAAGAAAATGGGAAGTTACTTAAATATATTATTTTAGAATTTTTCATACTATTATCTCACAAAAAGTCAGAGTATATAAGCCTGAGGTATGGGCTTGATAAAGGAGGATTTCCAAATTAACTAGGCTGCTTAAAGCAAACTGAATTACCTCTTTAAAAACGTCTTAGTTAGGCCGAGCATAGTGGTGCACGCCTTTAATCCCAGCACTCTCGAGGCAGAGGTAGGTGGATCTCTGTTAAGTTCAAGGCCAGCCTGGTCTACATAGTGAGTTCCAGGCCAGCTAGGGCTACGGGGAGACTCTGTCTCAAAACAATTGTCTTTAAATTGCATTATTTTGCATATGCATGTGTGTGCATATGCGCACCTGTCACAGTGCACATATGGAGGTCGGAGGATAATTTTTGGAAGTCGGGTCTCTCCTTCCACCAGGTGGGGGCAAGCACCTTACCAAGGAGCCATCTCACCAGCCCTATTTTTTGTATTTTTAGAGACAGGGTCTCCTATGCAGTCTACACCATACAGGCTTCTCAAAATCCTTCTGCTTCTGCCTCCCAAAGCGCTGAAACTATAGGTTTGGGCCACCACACACCTGGCTTTAACTGAAGTACTTTTCCATGGATAGATTTCACCTTTGATTGTATTCAGCTCTGAGCATTACTAAGAGGACAGGGCTGATTCACCCCAACAACCTGAAGGTAATTCTAGAAAAAAAAAAAAAGAAAAAACCAAACTATTGTAACATTATCATTACAGAAAAGATGGGTGTTGACAAGCATTTCAAAGAGGAGGTCCCATTAATTCTGTCTAGATTAACAAGCTTTACTGAGTGTTTCCTACCTGCAATCTACAAATTCTGCTTTATACAACAGTTCCTTACAAGTTTGGTTAGCATGAATTGGTTTCTTATAACCTGATCATCCCTGAGTAAACTCATAAATTCAAACTGTAGAATGTGCAAAACTAGGAACCAAACCTGGGCTGTGGCTGGGCTGTCAGCCTGTCAACGGACATTCTCAGCACCCAGATGTCTAGTCCCTACAGGCATTCGATACAGAACTTTTACAGAAGTGACCTGCAGCTTCAATCTGAAGGATGCTTTACAGTTCAGAGAGCTCGCCTTCCACTGCTTCACCTAATTCCTACAATTCCATTTTTCTGATGAAAGATCCATGATGGGGAGATGAATGACTTGGTGGGGGTCGGGGGGAGAGCAAACAGGAGCCAAAGCACAACACCCTACATGCTCAATACCAGCAGCAGCTGGCCAAGCTGAGGACACAGAGCAGCCTCAAAACCATGCCTGGTTTAGATGGATTCAAGCCCCTGTATCTGGCACAGGGAAGCTTACAAAGCTTTGAAGGAGGGCTGGGTGGGTGAGGTGGCACACCCTGCAATCCCAGCACTCGGAAGGCAGAGGCAGGCAGATCTCTGGGAGTTACAGGTCAGTCCAGGCTACATAGAGAGTTCCAGGCTAGCCCAAATTACACAGTGAGACCCTGTCTCAAAACAAAAACAAAGATAAAAGAACCAAACAAAACAAAGATGTGGGGCTGGAGAGATGGCTCAGCAGTTAAGAACACTGGTTGTTCTTGCAGAAGACCCGGGTTCGAATCCCAGCACCCACATGGCAGCTAACAAACTGTCCGTGACTCCAGTTCCAGGGGATCCTACAGCCTCTTCTGTCCTCTGAGGGCATTGCACGACACAGTGCACTTATCTACATATAGGTAATACACGCATACACATAAAATAAAAATAATAAATAAAATATTTTTAAAAACCAACAAAGATGTGAAGGTGAATGGAAACTTACTACTTAGAGGTGATCTGGTGAAGATACAGGCAGGATGGAAAATTCTTTACACTGTTCTTACCAACAGATCTTCCTTCATTTTGCCCTGATGTTCAAAGTCACAGAGAACCCTGGTTGTACCAGACTTTTTTTCTTTTTAAGAAAGATTTATTTTTATTATTTTAATTACGTGCGCACATGAATGCAGTTGCCCCTAGTGGTGAGAAGGTGTTGGATCTCCTTGAGCTAGAGTTATAGGAAGTTATGAGCTGCCCAATATGGGTGCCGGGAGCCAAATGTGTGTCTTCTGCAAGAACAGCAAGCGCTCTTAATCGCTGAGCCATCTCTTCAGGCCCTAGACTTCTGATCTTTTATCTCATGCTTCTGGGTGCAATGTGGCAAGGTCTGGTTCCCAACATAGTCAAAGTATAAGAAAATAAACTCTGGGGCCATCTTCAAGCAGAGCTTCCCTAATGATTCTTCAAGTTCTTAAAGCTGATGGGGGAACTGGCTCCACAGGGCCTGGTGCTTTGGGAAAGGGGTTACAGGAAAAAAATGCTGGCAGGGCCGGTTTCAAGTCTTTGCTACTGGGCTATGTATTGTTTGGCTGGAGGCGTAGGCTTCCCTCAGAGAGAAGGAATGTCCAAAGGCACTGCAGACAGTAAGGCGGCCTCTGAGCCAGTCACATGACCTCCTTCATACCAACAGGAAGGAGCAAGCAGCTAAGTCTATCAGCAAGCACACCAGCAGGATTTTTGTTTCTGTGTAAGTAAGGCAGCTGGTGTGCCTGGACCTGGCTCTGCAAACCTAAAGATAATTCCTCGATGACCCTCCAAGAGCCCTCAGTCCCACAGGCAGCCAGAGCTAGGGCGGCTTTCTTCCTCATCTGGTACGCCAGGCACTAAGCCTCCTTAGTGAGGGCTGAGGTATAAAGGGTGCATTGTGCAGGAACTCTACGGCAGCAGAGACAACACAGCCAGCCAGAATCAACAGGGACGTGAAGAAAATGTGTTTGAAACAACTCAAAAATTCCAAGAACAGATTATCTTAACTGTTCTTGGGTACTTAGTGCTTTCTTTGGTATGTAGCCCCATCCCCTACTCATTAGTCACAGAGACATATTGTCAGGGGTCCCTTCCTTCCCAGTCTTGATGGCTACCCAGTTCTGGCCTTCCTCATCCCTGTGTGTCTGCAACACTAACTCAGCCTCCTGAGTGTGAGGAGTGTGGGGTGCCCAGACTGTCCGGAAAGACTGACCCGAGCACTCGCCCTCTCCCTTTGCCTCTCCCTCTGTCTCTGTCTCTCTCTGTCTCTTTCTCCACTGTCCACCATGGTCACCACTGGCCATATGAACCTACTATATACCTCAAATGTGGTTAGTGTGACCAAGGAACTGAATTCATAGTTCATAAATGTATGGCATGGGTGTTGCCCGCCTGTAATCCCAGTACGTGGGGGGCAGAGGCAGGTGGATCTCTGTGAGCTTGAGGACAACCTGGTTTACACAAATTCCAGCCCATCTAGGACTATACTGTGAGACACTGTTTCAAAAGCAAACATACAAAGAAAAGAAGAGAAAAAAAAGAAGGAAAAGACTGAGGAAATTGGCAGGATGTTTGCTGAGTATGTGTGAACCCCCGGTGTGAACCCCCAAGTTCAATCCTTAGAGACACACACACACACACACACACACACACACACACACACACACACAAATTAATTTATATACATAGGGCCAGCAGCTATGGCACAGGACAGAACAGCTTGGGTTCAGCCTCTCTCAGCTGGTCTCTGGCCTCAAGCCTACTCTGCACAGCTCCTAATCACTGCTCTCCGTACATTCTTTTCCAGCCCCAGAACTTTCCACAATGTGTCATCATCTAGAGTATTCAAACTTCTTGTGCTAACTACTTATGGAAGCCACACTTAGCTATCACATGTTAACTTAAACTTTACTCATCTGACAGGCCGTGACTTCAAAGAGCTTACAGTGTAGTTAGGAAAGGTACCGTTTAACAAAAACTTTTCCGAATTCTCTTGCACTTTCTCCTGCACCCCACAGTCTGCAATCTCTGCTTAGCCCATCTCCCACTGTCATCAGAAGCCCCTCTACTCCAGGTCTCTGTCCACAGCCTCTCCTTGCTCTGCCTGCCTCCCTACATGGTACCTGTCACCCAGAGCCACAACCTTCCCCAGGAAGCTTTCCCTAGCTGTCCTAGCAGCAAGCCATAGCTTTTCTGTGTATCTGCTAGCACCTTCTTTCATTTTGCAAGTGGGGAGACTGAGGTTTTGGGCGTTAAGTCACTTGTCCAAGTGACAGAAGCCCTCTGATTTGGATCCTGTCCCCACCCCACTGACAGTGAAACAATTGTCCTTCCAGCATATTTTAACTTCACAACTGGATATGGTAGACCAGGACACATCTAACTTTTGAATCTATTCCTGTGCCTGACATATAGGAGATTCAAAGCAAATAATGGTGAACTTTCTCCAGTATCAAAGCAACCCATGACTGACTCTCCCCAGTCAGTAACATAATCAATCGATTTGAAACCACCGAATAAAACAGAAAAACATGATTTTAGACAGATATTTCATAAATACATCAGAGGGCTGGGGGTGTAGCTCAGTTGACAGTGTGCCTGCTGAACACACACACAAGCACTCAGCACCATATAAGCCAGGTGTGGTGGTGCTTAACTATAATCCCAGCACTTGGGAGAAAGAAGCAGGAGGGTCAGAGTTCAAGGTCACCTTCTGCTACACAGCAAGTCTGGGGCCAGTCTGAGCTATATGAGACCCTGTCTCAAGGAAAAAAACCAAACAACTAATTAACTAGATTGGAAAGTACATTGATTGGGACAGGATACTGGCATATTTTAAAGTATCTTCCTAGGAAATACTTCTTAGCAGTAAAGGGGGAAGAATAACTGTACAGCCAGAAGTCAGGTAAAACCCACCACGGTGGCTTGGACGCCTGTCCTACAGTGTTAAAGGCTTGCTCTCCATAGGTGACCAAGCCAACAGTAGTCTTGGATACAAAGCGCCCAGGTCATGAACTTCAGAGAAGACTGAAGAATGTTCCAGATGGAAAGAACAGATAAATGCAATTAGTGATTCTGAGTTGAATCTTTTACTACACAGGACATCACTGGAACAACTTTTCTAGTTCTTAATTGTTTAAAAATTTTTTAAAAAATTTATGCCCCCCATCCCCCCCAGCACTGGGTTTTGAACCCAGGGCCAGGAACTTGCTAGACAAGTGCTCTACTTCTGAGCCTCACCCTCAACCCAGCTACTGATCATCCTTTTTGTTTTGTTTTCTGAGACATCTTGATATTCAGCCCAGGCTGGCCTTGAACTCCTGATCCTCTTGCCTTTGCCTCCCAAGTGCTGAGAATTACAGTGTGAGGTGCTTGTACTGATGGTCATTTTTACTGGCATATTTTGCAGCTTTCCCTTTGCGTCATTTACCCTCACATTTGGCAACCTTTTCTGCCTGAGGGCCCTTTTTTCCCACTTGGTGTTTTCCAGGACAGAAACTGAACTGTGGGGCACTTGGCTTTCCCAGTGCCTCTGGAGTCCAGTCCTCGAGGGTTTCTCCTTCCCGGTCCATATAAGACCTAATTTTAGCACTTTCCTCTTTTGAGGCCACAAAGTTGGACAGATGGGGGCCTGGCTTGCCCAAGTAACCCTCCCATTGTTAAGGGTAGGGTGTTGGAGCCCTGCAGGAAGTGACTCAACATCCTGCTGTGATGTCTGGGGAGGCTGCAGCTTTGGTACAAAGTGCTCCTGACCTAGCCTCTCAGGACCACAATTACACAGGTTAATTGGCAATATGGGCAGGCAGCGTCAGCACTCCCTGTGGACCTCAGGGCCACACCCAAGGCAACTTGCTTATCCATCCTG